GAAATGCCCCATTAGTAACAAAAAGGGTTACTAGAAAGAAAGCACCGTGGAGAAACCAAAATATTATATATCTCACAAAGCAAAAGAACTTTTGGAAGAAAAAGCTAATGATTTCTAGAAATGACATGGACAAAGATCAATACTGTAGAGCTAGAAATGCTCTAAACAGTGCTATTAGAAGAGCCAAACGAAATTATTTCCAGAAAGAATTAGCAAAATGCTCAAATTCAAAGGATTTTTGGAAAAAAATTAAGATGAGTGGGGCAATTAAGGCAAAAAATGCTGAACTCCCATCATTTCTTATATTAGTAATCCAGATGAAATTAATAAACATTTTTCAATGATGGGAACTGGCTCTCAATTTCACTTTGAAACACTTGATTATTACTTAAATAACATTTCTCAGAGTGTAGAAAACACATTTTCTTTTAGAGCAGTAACAGTAAGAGAAGTAAAAGATGCCATAAACAAGATCACCTCTATGGCTGTTGGCATTGATGAGATAACGATCAGCATGATAAAGATGGTAAGTCCGTACTGTATTGAGGCCGTCACGCACCTGTTGAATGTTTCGTTGGCTACGGGGGTGTTTCCGGATGACTGGAAGGAAGCCATTGTCATTCCTCTGGCCAAAGTTGGTGCTCCCTCTTCTTTGGCCGATCTTCGCCCCATCTCTGTGTTACCCGCCCTCTCCAAGGTCTTGGAGACTATTGTTGTCTCTCAGTTGGTTGAGTTCCTGGAGTTGGAGTCAATAATTCCAGCAACACAATCTGGCTTTCGTTGGGGGTACAGTACTTCAACTGCTCTGTTACTGCTTTGTGATGATGTCATAAAAGCTAGAGCTGAAAAGAGGTGTACTTCTCTGGCAATGCTGGATTTTTCGCAAGCCTTCGACTCTATTGATCACGATCTACTGTTGGCCATGATGTATCACTACAGATTTGACCAGCAGGTAGTGTCGTGGTTTCACTCCTACTTGAACGGAAGATGCCAAAAGACCAAAGTTGGATCTGAGATCTCCGCCCCCATGCAAAAGTCCAAAGGAGTCCCACAGGGCAGCTGTCTTGGACCTGTCCTGTTAACTTTGTTTGCCGCATCTATGGGAAGAGATTTGCGTCATTGTCGGTTGTATTCATACGCTGATGATGCTCAGCTGGCTTTTCAGCATGACGCTGACCCAGCAAATCAGGCAGTCTCTGATTTCAATTCTGATTTGGATTCTGTCTTTGCATGGTCTATGTCCCATGGCATCAAGCTGAACAGAGACAAATGTTCATTGGTGACTTTTTCTGTCAGCAGGGTTGTTCGGTCCGAGCCCCTGTCTGGAGTATGCCTTGGCGGAATTCCGCTCAAAGAGTGTAAAGCTCCCAAGCTTCTTGGGCTTCATTTCGATCCTGAGCTCTCCTTTTCTGATCATGTGAGTTACGCATGCCAGAGAGCAATAGGTCGTCTGAGAATGCTGTACAGGCATCGTGACTTGTTCCCCAAACCCACCAAATTTCGGCTTGTGCAGGCACTTGTACTGTCTGTGTTTGATTACTGTCTTCCGGTGTATGGTAATGTTATATCACTGGGAGACATGAGTCGGATGCAGAGGGTGCAAAACATGTGCGTCAGGTACGTCTGCGATCTGCGAAAATTTGATCGAATTTCATCAGACCTCACATCTCTTGGCTTATTGCCTATGGCTGACCTGTGCCTTTTACGCACTTCCTGCATCATCCGGAGGGTACTGTCAGAGGAGAGACCTCAGTACCTGAAAGTAAGACTGAGAGCTCGCTCTGAGATGCGATCCCGATGCACACGGCAGGATGACATGCTGGAGATGCTGGATGCGCTGTGAGTCCGACCGTTGTGGGTTTTCTTATTTTGCCCCTAAAATCTGGAATAAATTGTCATCCAGGACTGAGCCAGGGGTGTTGGACAGTGAAAAGTCATTTAAAAAATATATAACAAATGGTTTGAAGAATGGTAAAATAATTAGGAATAGAGAACATATTTTAATTTTTAATTAGCCTAACTTAAGATTTGAGAGTTGCTTTTGTTTTATATTATTTATTTATGTTGACGTGAGTTGTTTTGAAAAACATATGTTGTAATATGAAAAACGCTCAAGAATAAAGACGATTTTCATTTCATTTCATTTAATTTCATTTCATTTCATTTCATTTCATTTCATTTCATTTTATAAAATATTACCAAGAGTTGGTAAATATACCTTTTGAATATAGATACAACAGTACCTAAATCGTAACAATTGCATCGTAAATACCAAAGTTGATGGCATTTTACTGGTATTAATAGTTTACAGACTGTTTACTTGTAACAGACACGTCAGAATTCAAACCAAACTATTGCCAAAAAGTTAACGCAAATAACAAACTTTTCCCCAAAGGTTATAATAATGACTTAATGACTTTAATTGTTCACAACAACCATATTGAACAACTGAATATATCGGCCATAGTAAAGATTGTGATTATTGTTTTGATTTCTTTATTCGGTGCAAAAAAATCGTTCAAAGCGATTATACATTTAAGATAAACTTATCAGTTTAAAAAATTCCATTGACAGTAGCCTTGAAAATTACTTAGTAACTACTCTACAGTAACATTGTCTACCTACAGCAGTTCTTCTATATATCATTAGGAACATAACCTAGGAGAAACTGGCGATTTCCGTATGAATTCCAGGGTAAAAAGTTGTACTTAGTGAGATAAAGGATTATTTTTCATTTTCGCAATATTTTTATAACCCATTTATTAATTAATGTCCAATTGGCACATTACATATACTTCTTAGTTTGGCGACACATATCCAAAATTCATGCCGTTTTTTTTTGCAACTCCATCCTACTCCATCTTAAAATTTCTTAAGACAGCTATAAAAATAACGGAATTAGACCCGCAAATAGTACAATAGAAAATACTTAAGGAAATTTTACTAAAATTGAATATAAAATAGAAGAATAAGAAGATAACCTTCTTGACAAAGCTAATGCCAAGGCTCTAGGCTATTTAAACACAGCAGAGTAATTAACTGTATGAAACCCCGTAGACCTAACATTGTTACTGACAAATCGTCTGCCGTTCCCCATATCTGCCTTCAATAGTTCCATCAGGGAACATCGATTCGTTGAACAGCTTCAAATGATTTCGTAAAAGACGTAAAGTTGTTTTACAACTTAAATTGTCAATGATATCTCAGTATAAATACTGTTTGTTATCTTGACTGCAAATTATGGGCTACATTATGGATCCCCTACCACTTATATCGAATGTTGACATTGCAACTGTATTCTTCGTAGTTCGCCCATCTAAGCCGTACAACAATCTTTTCTTATCATTGGCCCACGAGAAGAACAAAGAGCAAACATTGTTCGACTTTATGCATGCAATTCCCTAGTAATCCAGAGCGCTAAATGACCTCGTAAACAGTTTATCACTGTTCATTACGGGTTACGGCTTGTTCTTGGCCGTAAATTGGGACGGATAAGCTGCTTTAATGCTTAATTGATAGCGCTATCTCATTAAGTCAATTTGTATCCGTCGGAATTATGCGATTCTTAAAGATTGATGCCATTATTACTGCTGAGGTCCTGCAGTTAAGCAAACCTATTTAAATTATTCACCTACAGTTGTTTTTTTTTTTTTTTTGTTTCGATAAAGATGTTCATATATACTGTAGCTTTTATTGAATGGATTTCTTAATACAGGAAAAGTTCTCTTCGCCTAAAATACCTATAACTTTTTCCACAATGGTTGAAGGTTAAAAATACCTACGTGTAAACATTGAGTTCCGGCATTTTCACAAAAAAAATTGTCAATATGAGTAATTTGATCCAGAGTCTTCAGAACAAATTGTGCGCGCTCTAAAGATCAGACCAGCCTACCTGTCTAAAAGATGTTTGAACTACACTGTGATTCTGCCAGTACTTTTCCACAGGATTATCTAGCATAAATAAAAAAACGCATAGTAAGAACAATTGCTAGAGAACCCTACTTATCACATTGTAAACCGATCTTTATACAACTGAATATACTCACACTGCTGCTCTGTTCATTCTTGAGTCTGCAGTGACAATTAAAAGGAAGCCAGAACATTTTCCAAAAAATCAACAAATCCATAACTATTCAACGAGGCAGAAGGAAATGTTACATGTACCACAAGTTTCATCCAGTTTAGTGAGAGATGGACCAAGACCTACATGCATAAGAATTTACAATAAAATTCCAGCTGCCATAAGGGAAATTTAAGATGCGGAGAAGTTGAAATCCAAGTTTAAAGAATATTTAACGACTAGGCCTTACTACTCAGTAGAAGAGTTCTTAAATCAAGAATAGGCCAAAACTTTGACGACCATGGCACACCCGTGCTACTAATGGGATACCTACAAGTATCAAGTAAGCAAGTATCAAGTAAGTAAGTAAGCCTACAAATAAATTCCCGCATTTCTTTTAAGTAACTACTTGAATTTCTCCTCACTTTTTTAATATAACCAAAGGCAACATTTCTTTAGGTCCCTTGAAGTAAAAAAACATAACTAATTATCGATTCACACTTGACATATAAGTGTAAGACATTTGAAAAAGTATTTTTTATAATTTTTCTATGTTTATAACAAAACATATTCAACACAATTATCTTATGTACATAACACTTACTTAATGGGGTTTTTGTAGAACATTAATCAAATTTGTGGACTGTGTTTCTCTGTCCCTCGGATAAAAACAACTTAAACAGATTTAGTTGTTTGTTGGAGCTGTTTCTGCCCCAAATCTAGTTAACTCTCGCCCTTTTGAGATTCCATTACTGCCTGAACACCTTCGACGATTGCATTTAACCGTGGGCATCCTTCCTACCCACATTCTTAAATTAAGTCCGTTAATCTACCTAATATATTTAGGTAACATTCTACTATGGCTTAAAACTCTTTAGTAAATAAAGGAAAACTATGGTAGTAGTTTTATACAATTGGTTCTGTTAATAGTTTATCTTACCTTGTTTTGTTATGTTGATGATGTTATCCTACAAAATTCTCTAGCGTTTTATCTGAAAAACAAAACAACAATGTTAATATTCCTTAAAATCTCAACATTGTACTTTTGTTGTAAACATCATTTAACACATCAATAGCTGTACAAGAAATACGAGGAATATGATTTAAAACTCCTTAAGTGACTATTATGTAAACAAGTTTTATCTCAGTGAATTTTATTAATGATTTAGTGATAAATTTGACCGATTTCCGAATTTTTGGTTCACGCTATGAAGATTTCTCGTTAACTCGAGCCATCTTGCTGGATGAAGAATATCCTATCCTTGTAGCTATGAATACATTGAACTTTTACGACTTGTTCAATGAAGACACAAAATTCTTCTCATCAAAAATGTATAGAGATTACCTGAGAAATATCAGTACAGTATGATTAAAATATCACCGGAATTGAGACCAAAATACTAAGCTTATATTTTGTGTTGTCTTTATTTTACTGAAACATATTTATATTAAAACTAATTTACACTTAGATCTACGATCAGTATTAATAAAATTTGAATGGTGAGTACTTAGGAAAGCTGATACAGGATCTTAAGACTTATGTTAGTAGTTAATTAAAAAATCCAAAATTCCATTTGAAATTCACCAAAAATTTGTATATCTGTATTCATAAACCAAAGTCTACATAAATTAAACAAAAATCTTGTAAAGTGAATTCGTTTGCTATATAGAGTGTTCAGTAAGTAAACAATAAACTCCGGGACTGGTTTTATGGGTAAAAATAAAAGATATACTCCTTTTTGTATTATTTACAACAACGGTTATCTTTGGGACGTTTTAAACCAATCTTTATGAAAAATATTATGGTAAGAGAGTCATATCTTAGAAATAAATTCGACTTGGTCAAAAGTAATTTTTTTAATGGTGGCCTCTTCAAGTTTTCAAAGTCTAATTTCATGAAAACAAGTGACTGAATAGTAATTTTATAGGAGATAGCTTTTGTAAGAATACTGTATATTTTGATAGTTTTTGTATTTAGTGTAGTATAATTACACACAAGTGGGTGGTGTAGTTGTACCTCAGTGTGCGTTAATATCAGCGAAACTTGCCTTGTAGTGTGGTCATACATATGCATACCTGGTTGGACATGTACCACTACTAGTACAAAGGCACCATCACACATTGAAAATATATGATACATCGCATACATAATCAATTATTACGTATTTAGTGTTTTTTTTTTACACTTGCCAGTTTTTACACACAACAAAATTCTTAAATTTTTTTCAAATTTTTTTTAAATTTTATTGGAGTATGGATTAAAATTTTTGCCTTAGGGTGGAAGGCCTGGTTCCTAATAAACCATAAAAAGTTGTTTTTCCAATTAACAATAACTTGGTCGTCCGATACCACAATGATAATTCAAAGCCAACTTTAAACTGTACGCTATATAAAAAGTTGGATTGAACTCATATGGACCATATAAGTTAAAGGCGACTAAGTTAGAAGTAGTTGCAACTAAGGCCTAAGGTTAGAAGAGATGATTAATCTAGGTAATTTTTAATTCGTTACAGTCCACGGTAAAGGGTGATGCCTCCACTCCAAAACCGCTTATTGCGAACCCAATATTGAAAGCCCCCTTCACCCCAGAGACGGGTACACTCCACGGGGCTCTACCCTCATTCAAGTGTGACGCTTAACTTGAGACTCGCACACTTAACTTCAAGACTATCTAGACATATAATTCAACTATGTGCATCCTATAAATAAAAACTTGTGTTAGGAATACAACAAAATTGCATTATTCCAATCATACATTTTTCTCAAACATCCTTTCAACCCGTTTAAAACCTTGTTACTAAAGTTGTAAAGTAACAATTTTTTCAACAATTTTAGTCTCTGTTTGAACGTTTCTGGTTTCATAAATATTTTCCTGGATATATTTACTGAAACTATGACTACCTGGAGCTGTTACTTGTAGAAAGGTGTGAAATGACAACGACCTGAGTAGTCTTATGTCGGTCGTCTTGGCGTTGTAAAACGTAAAACTTTTAGAGGGCATCTTACTTTGTACTAGCACAAACCAACATTAACACATTGCATTTTAACATTCGAAAGAAAAAAATCATGTTTAAATATATATGCACTGCACATTATCTTTATTGGATTTATTTAATTACATTTGTAATTATTGTATATTAATTATATTCTGAACCCATGTTTAGGTTCTGCCATAAACCTAATGTTGCTTTGTCATGATGTATAAAGCTCCAGAGACTATGTAAACGTTTGTTGCTTGTTTGAGTTAAGTTTGGAAAATATTGTCTCAGTTGAAATTCGTAGGTTACACTTATAATTAAGCTTGATGACGAGGCTAATCGAGAAATATAAAATAAGACTCTTATGTATCTGCTCAATTTTGTGGACGCCTCTGCGAACTCCACCTAGTTATTATTGTTTACATTAATTTGTTATGGTTTTAATGTTAGCTCTAATTCCAAATAAAAAGGCAATTACGTTTTTTTTCTTTTTATTAAAACAACAACATAATAACATGACAATAACAAATTACACAATTTTATTATCTTTTCCATACCTTCGTTAAAGGTGGCAGTGACGTCTCCTTTTCCTTGGTTTTCATAAGTTTTTATTTTTTTCTGGTTTTTCTGGTTTTATTTGCCTTCCCTTAATAACTATTGGCGGCAATGACGCCCTTGCTCTTAACGGCCGTAGCCTTTAGGCAGTTACTTGTTTTTTTGTCATTTACCTTAATTGGCACTTTTGCCAAAGGTGGCAATGTATTTTTACTATTTCTCATTTTCTTCAGATGAAGTTGTACATTGCCATTTTCAGTCTTCAGAGATTTGTTATAACTCCTATCAAGTGCGAAACAATTTTTGTTTTGCAGATGGCGGGAGTTTGCTGTCGCTTAACATTCTAATGGCGGGAGTTTAGTTTCAGCGTCAGCTGTGAAGTGCCGAAATGGACATAACTAGGGCAGATTATTGTCACTGAAGTTTTCCATTGTGTTCCCCTTCAGCGTTTGAAAACCGAGAGCTTTCCATTAGTTAAAAGCTTCATTGTTTAAAACTTAGCATTCATTTAGGGACACTATACGACGAAACAAGAGAATTATCCGAGAATTCTTTCATTTTATTTGAAGTAGAGTGATCAGTTACAAAAATGTTTGCATTTCTTGTTTAATTTAGTGAAGCGCTTGACAAAATTAAGTATTTACATCGTGATGATGTTTCAGAAGGTTCCTAGTGTCATAGACTTGTTTAACAAATTTTTCACTATGGAAGTTTATGCTTTTGGTATTAGGTTTATTTTCCTTTTATCGTCTAACATTTATCTAGTAAAAACTTATATGTATGTTTTAGAAAGTGGCTTAAGAGGGTTCTACCTCTTCAATTCAAGATGCTAATATTTCTAAACATGCCTCTACGTTACAAGCTCTCAACAACTAATTAGTTTCCAATCATTGTGTGCTTTTTTTGTTTAAAACTATTATTTAGAAGCTAAAATCAGATGTTCAAAAGACTAATTTACGGATTTTAAAAATGATTTTGTAAATACTTGAAACAATTACAAAGTTTCATTTTATCCAGGGCATAGTTTGGATCTTTGTGTCTGTTTTACAGTTTATTTCATCGATAAACACTTTAATAATGCATCGAGGTTCTTTTCATAGGACCATGTTTATGTGGTAACCAGCAAGCGGGTGGAACCCTCCTAAGCTATATTTACCCATAACTTTTTTCTTTAACAATACATCGTAAATGTAAATCCAATTAAAGATTATTCAAACGAAATAATCCCCTAATATTTTAAGGAGTTAACGAAGTAAACTGAAACGAAAACTTGTAGAAGTTCTTTGTGCGGAGAAATGAAATGTTTAATCAGATGGACTTCTTTCTACAACTACTCAGTTAACAATGGTGCAAACGAGTAAGCGAGGATTCCCACTCCTACTTCTATTATTTAAAAAAAATTTTCTTAAAGTAACGAAATATACTTTTGACTTATTTCTTTTAATTGACTTATTAATTTTCGGTGCGTTAATTTTGATGTCTTTGATCTATGTTTTTATTAAGGAAATTGAGATTGACAATCTAAATTTGTAAACTATTTACAGAACAATTCAAAAACATGATAATTTAATGTGTATAAATTAAGGTTACGTTTAACCTGACAGCAGATAGACGGAATTCTAAATTGTATTTAAAACCAACAACTCAGCTAACTACAAAACTATGACTACGGTTGGACCTCACTAAGACTTATGTTTTAATAATAACCTAAGTTAAAAAGATGAATGTCGTATTTCGATTGTTGAGACTTAGTGATAAAATGATATACCTAAGTAAAAATGAGGGACCAGTAAAAAAAAGTAAAGTAAAATTGTTTAATAATTTATTTAATTTTAATTATATTTTTTAGTTGTATCGTATTGTGTCGATTTATTAGTTTAATTTTCAACTTATCGTAATGAATACTATTTAAGTGTTTGCATCACAGTTATCGGAGTTTGACTCCTCCCCTCTTTGATGGCAAGTTATTCTCCGAGGTGACAGTTGTGTTGGTCTGTGATTTGGATGTGCGAAGGTAGTTTTGTGGTCGGAGGTCACAACCGAGGTCGCGGTCACAATTTGGTCACGACCACTGATTGTTGTGGGTAAACTGTTTAGTGCGGGTCAACCCCACAACGCTCCTGTTGTCTCACTAAATGTTATTACTTTCTACTTTGGACACTTTCAGTTGTTTTTCTTCAGGGTAACTATTAGTTAGTCTTTAGGCTATAGACATGAATGGTTTTACATTCTGTGTACAATATATGTAAAATATATATTTTAAACTTGTTGATATGATCCGCAAATATATTCCCTAGTATTTTATAAAATACCCTGAAAATTGATGTTTTATAATCAGATTACTCATTATTTGATACTTTTCATAGTTCGTTTCCAAAATTAGTGCATTCAAAGGTGAAATCTGAAATTACTCCTTTGAGAATTGCCAGTACAGTACTAATTTATTAAATTTATGTTGT